TAAAAATGACGTTTATTCATAATGGTATTACTCCTTTGGATATGATCGAATCAATTTGTAGTACTGCTGTGGATAAATTGAGTATAATTATAAATAAATTTTGGCCTTGCGGGTGGAGCAGGCCCGGAGAGGCCTTGGAGGTTCGGCCCTGTCCCACAAAAAAGGTAGATTGCCGTTGCCTAAATATCTGTCTACGCAGTGTACGTGTATGCGTTGTTACGCTCAGACGCACATCGCTGGTCGAAATATGAAAATGGATAGATAAGAGTCGGAAAGTGATAAAGCGACCAGACATCGGCAGCAGCGCCCATCCCTTTGAGCTTTGCATTTGTAATGGTCCGAGCGCAGTTACCAACGAGGCCTTTCACACCGCTACCGCTCCGCTGTGCACGGTGACTGACGAGAGGCCGACTCGCGCTCCTGGGAGCGGCAGATGCGAACGAAGATGCAGATGTACAGACAGGTTACTCAAAAATGCCTTCTGATCCATGAAGAGTTTTTGGAACGGGGGATGGTAAACAGATGAGACAATCCCATGGTCTGAATCGAGAAAAGAGACTTTGTGCAAAATGTTTCTAGAACGACAGACAGGCGATGTTAACGATAAATGGAAGAACTAATTCCGAACTCTAACGGCAAGGCGTATTTGTAAAGCGAAATTCTCATAAAGTCACATTTTATTAATTGGCATTTATTCGATTAGAGGAACGCATCAACATGATGTTGTATCATGCGAATATAGTCAGCAGGATACTCTTGTCACAGTTTAGAACAAATTCCATTTATCCAGATTACGTGACTTGTACCATGCAAGATTCAAGTCCCGCTGTTACACTCCCTAATTCTGGTTGAGCAACTTTTCCAATATAACTCTAGTGCACGGGTGTCAAACTTGGGGGGCCTCAAGGGCCACAATTAAAACCTTTAACATTGTGGGCCCTACTTACATTACTTGGGTGAGCCACACTTTACTTTCCCGTACTGTTAATCTCGGCACTTTGCCCGGCTGCCCTGAAAGGGGGGGGGTGGAACCGTGCGTGACATCAGGACGTACCATCCACAACGCAAAACGCTCCATGAAACGAGCATAGTAAAATTGATATATTTTAAAATGTGATGTGTGTAATCACTTTAAAATGGCTATATCTTAATTATTGTTTGGTGCAAACGAAAATTATGCTTGAAGAATTTGGTGTAAACGATTTGATTTAGATTTAATTAGTAAAAAAACAGTAAAAACTGTATGTGACGTACGGGGGAAAAGATTATATTCTCACGTTTTCTTGAGTTCCAGAATCCCTTCCCGTCATTTTAACTATAAATAGTTGAAAGATGAATAAAAGTTTAACATAACAGACATTTTCGTTTCCGAGTTATAGAAAACTTATTTGCATCGGTAAACGAATTGCAAGTATGATTTTTCTGCATTGCTAACAAAATAGTAACTCGCCTTTACCTTTACTCTAACCATCACAAGCACAAGGAGAGTTCAACAAAACGTGCGCATAGTGAAGCCACATTTACATCCAGAAGCAAAACAAGATTTAGGATGGATCTAATATTTTTACGGTAGTCGCAGTGCCAGCGCGAAGTTGGTATCGCCACATTGTAATGGATGTATCTTAATTAATTTCTTCGGGACAAACGAAAATTCTGGTGCAACAGTTCCGTACAAACGATTTAGAATGGCTTCCAATTTTCTTACGATGGTGGTGGTGCCAGAGTGGAATTGGGAATTGGCACCACGATAATTAAAAGTGCTCTAACCTATAATTGTTTTTGTACAAATAAATGTTATTGTAGAAAAAATATGCGTACAAACGAAGTAACGAATAGTAATGGTTTTAGTGGCTTTCGCTGTAGTGGCGGTGCCAACATCACGTGCGTATGGTTGTTCTGTCCACTCGTCTCTGCACATCAACGTTTATTGCGACTTCTTTCTGTGAATTATCTCGAAACTTGCTTAAGGACCGTCCATAAATTGCGTAACGCTAAAGGAGGGAGGAGGGGGTTTGAGGTAGCGTTGTCACATATGGGTTAGTGTTACGTAACATTGATATTTTTTACATTACTTAACATTTGTTGAAATACTTCCATTTTCAAGTGTTATACTAAAACATTACAATATCTAATTAAAATAGTTTTAAAATAAACAATTTAAAGTTATTAGAAATTACATGGGAATATTTTTTCAACAATTTTTTGGTGAATCTGTAAGATTACGAAGAAAATATTCAAAACTGATCTGTAATATTTTACACTATATGGCGCAGTAGTCTCGCCCTTGCCCCATCCAAAACGGCGGGCGGTGGGCGGATTATGATCAGAAGTTTTCTCGCTTGTGCTCTATCCTCCACTCAAAATTTGCCCCCTTGAGTTTAATCGTGCGTTACAGGGGGAAAGGAGTTATTAAAAGTACTCAAATTTTGAGTTACGTAACTTATTGCCTGCCCTTATAGGAATAGAGACCTACCTCGGGCAGACAATAGTAGCTCACCTTTGTTTTTCTGAATCGAAATAGCGGGCAAGAAATGAGTTCAAGTACGTCAGCGCCATCGAAACTGCTTTTTACCATTGTCATATTTATAGTATTAAATTTTATTCTAAATTTCTCTTAGATGAAATAAAAATATTGGAAAATAAATGTAGTAACATATTTGAAAAACTACAGTAATTGATACTTGATTCATTATTTGAATGATATAATGCATTGGTTTTCATTTTATTAACTTCTATGAAAGCGACCCTTGGCTAAGAAGAAACCGAATATTCAGAAATAATTATTAACTAAGTATGCTAAAAATATTCACTCAATTATAATTTAGTCAGCAGATAACATTATTAAAAACAGTATAAACTGACAATTGATGAAAAATGAATAAAATTAGGAAGAGCAAAAAATGCCACATGCACTGTCATATAAATAGGACAGTGGTAAAAAATAGCTGAATGTTTTCATATAAACTTTATTTCTTGTATGTTTTTCATTTACTTTTTTTTTTCCCTACACATACAGTTCATTCTTTTGTAGATTCAATTTTGTTTTTAATACTTTTAGTTAACTTATAGGGAGATTTTCATCTCATCCTTAGGAAGTACTGATGTTAATGGTCATTATTGAAGAAATTGGTAAGAGTCAGTTCACATAAGTATAGTTTGTAAAGTCAGTATTATGGGCAATTTTTAATAAATTATTATACTACTTATAATAATCTAGGCATTCCATAGGCAAGTTTGACAGACTTTATAAAATAATGAACATTCATGAACAGTAAAGGCCAGTAAAAAATACATTAAATTCATTTAAAAAATGTCATTGAGTTTTCCAAAAATTATGATGTAAATTCTCTCATATTCAGTATTTCTCAAACAATCTATAATATTTTATTCAAGTGAAACAATATAATTAATGTCTCCCTATCCTTGAAATGTATTAGAACACTCAAGCATAATTTCCTGCAATAATATCATTGTTTATGCTACTCTCCCCAATGTAATTATTAAAATTCTTTCAATAAATATTTACGAAATATAAATTAACTTTATGTTTTCACTATCAACAGTTACAATTCATGTTTATGACTTTGAAAATTAAATTGTTCATTTGATAATCTTAGAAGCTTAGTAATCTCTTAAACAAATGTTCCTTTCTGTACCCAATGTAAAACTGGGCATATTGATGTAAGTGCAAGTACAACAAATACATAATTAAATACGTTTCAGATACTAAATTCCTTATTTCAACTTTTAACATTCTTTCTTTTTACCTAACTCATACTTAAAAGAATAAATAAGCAAATTTTACCCTATTAGAGCCTCTTTTGCCAGACAGGTGTCAGCAATACTATTAGAGTTTAGAAGTGCCTATCACAGAGTGACTGATTGTAGGGGTGATCATGGAAAGTGACTGATGATGAGAGATGGATGATTGTGATTAAAGTGATTCTCTGAGGAATATGTGATGACAGGAAATTCCAACTATGCTCCAACCATATGGTGAAAATACTTGATGCCTTATGTGGGTCTGTTTACTTGGATGATGCTTGAAGCCGCTTGCTTCTGACATTATTCAGACAAATACCTTAACATTCAAAATATTTGTACTAATATAGGATAGAAATAGATGGGTCCCTAAATATAGCCATATAAAAGACAACATTTACTACTAAATATGTTTGTTTATAGCACACATCTACCCTTTTTTCTGTTGTTCTTTTACTTATTCTGTTTTGCTAAGGATATACAATAAAGCCACAGTTATTTTAAAATATAGTTTGAAATATAAAAAAAATATTTTTTTTAAGTACTCCAAATTTAAAAAAATGTTTTTATTAAAATGTATTCTGACTACTATAAAAATAAGCTAGCCTGAATTAATAAGAAGGAAACCCTAGCAGCATGAATTGACTTTGACAGAATAGTCCATTTATTAAACGTAAGTCAAGTAGACCTTCATTTGAGAATGCATGAAAAATTATAAGAGGATAATTATTTTCCACTTAATTCTTATTATTCATTTCCCAGTAGTTTATGAAACAACAGATATGATAAAAACAAAACCTTATTTTGAAAATGTAACAAAAGGTGATGTCATTATAATTCTAAATCAAAAATCCTGGCCTTGTGAAGCTATAATTTACCATTACTGACAAAATACATTTTGAAGTAATAAATAATGTTGGGCACTTTTGCAAATGCACTTTTATCAGTATTACTAATTCTTACTTCCTTTACTTTAAAATCAATGAAAAAGATGTTCATTGCAATGTCAAGGATTTGAGGTTCTGGATCTTTTCTTCCAGCCCTTTCCAATCCAATAAAAAAAAATAAGTCTTGAATAGTCTTGAATGTAACTTGTCAGCATCAACATCCCCCAAATACACACAATTTAAAATAAAAATTTCTGAACATCATAAATACCCATAAGGAGGGTAACTTGTCTACACAAAAGTACTATATTTACAAAAATTAAATATAAGAAAGTTAAGCAGCATATATGAATTGCTAATTGCTAATGAATAATTGAAAATTTAAACAAAATTATGTGCTTGAAAATTGAAATTATCCAGTAGGACTATAGAAAATCCATTATATTTAAATCAAATGAAATGGCTCAGTATTAATGACAACAACCTAATAAATGAGAATACTTTTACCAAGTTTCTAGAGCTACAGTAAATCCAGCTATGACTTGCATATATTCTAGTTGAAAATGTAAGGTAGTAACACTTTACCTTAAAATGTTGTACAAGACAGCAGTTCTATATTTCTTACAGCTGCAGTTCTATAACATAAAAAAATTAAATGCAATATATATTTAGAAAATAAATAGGTAGGTACACCATTCACTTGGGAATTATTTCAGATATTTTAATATGGTACTGCAAATGAATATTAAGTATTGCAAAAGTTTTGTTATATTATATTTCAAGTTGAATGAAACAGTACATAATAAATAAAATTTAATGGTGCACATCCATTTCAAAATTTTCAATGTAGTTTCTTATTCTTATACTTCTGTGTCACCAGTAACATTGCAGTATCATATTATCAAAGACACTTTTCATTTGTGAAATTCTTCCACAAATAATGGTAAATACAATAATAATAGTAATAATAATAATGTTGTATAAAACAAATATAATTTGGTTGGTTACATACCAAAATAATCAGAAGTGTAAATGCGGATGTTGTTTTTATCGGTAATAAACGCAATTGATTGCACACATTTTAACTACATTCAGAAAAGAGAGCAATATCAAGAATCAAAACGACATAATTCGAGTTTCTTAATAAGTACAACGTATTGACGAATTTCTACTTGACAGGTAACCTGCTGAACTGAACAATACAATTGACACTTGACACGACTTGTTTAGAAGTGTCACAAGTGTAAACTGGATATGTTAGCTGTATTGACAACTGTTGTGATTCTGCTGACAATGAACCTAAATATTTTTGAAGAAATGTGGTGTACAATTTAAGGAACTTCTTTGCGTATGACTCTCGGATGCCTCATTTGAAAATTGCTATTTTGGAAGTGTCGAACCCGGTGCTCATAACCTGTAGTTTACACTGCCTTCTAAAAGGTACTGAACTCATGTCTGTTCACAGGTTCGTATTTTAGCTTCGATTCAGCCAATAATTTTCATAGCTTTGCTAATAGGCGTTGTTGTTGTGACATATTGCTCAGGGATGCGATAAAGAGATGTAATCATAAAGACAATTGCATTCAACGAAGTGAATTCAGTTGCATTCAGTTGGCATTGCGTGACGCTGTGTGAGTGCACTGGCTGGATGCTGTCTCCTATATCCGCTGTATCAGATTTGTCCGCTATCAGCATCATTGAGAATCCGAGTGACGTTTGGTTGTGTGTGAGCTATTTGTTAGGCAGAAAAGGTGGAATGTACAGATGAGGAAGAAATAGTGTCATTAATGTGACTCATTTGCTTTACTTATGATTTACTCGAATTCGGACGTTGAATAAGTAAACGTCGATATCATGGTCACTTTCACAGTGTTCTTGTAAACAAACTAGAAGTGGCTTGCCATTGTAAAAGTGCCATGTGAATTAGATTTAAACTCGGTTATAGAGAGAAGTATTGTTTAAGGCGACAATGGGTCTGCTTACTGATATTGTCAGACCAGAATCTATTGACAAGGCATCTTCCATCATTTTGAGACTGCCAGGTTTATTTATTCTTGATTACTACTACCAAACCTACTCCAAGGATGAACCAAAAAATGCTGAAAACCGTGAATATGCCACAATCATCAATACTTTCAGTATGTATAGTGATTGTCTTACGAAAAAAAAACAACATAATTCAGTTTTTGTTGGTATAATGTACAATTTCTTTCTATGAGAGAACTTTATGTCAATACTTTTTGTTTTTCAGTGGTCTTCCAAGCTACATTATTTATCCTTTTGCCTCTGAGGCCCCTTGTCAAAATGTATAAACATTACTTTAGTGCTGCTCTCCTTGGTTATGCTGAATTGTACTCCCGGCACTATGTTTCAACCGAGCATAGCAAGGAAACAAATAATCTTGGTCTGATAATGGCTTTGTCTTCAAAGTTTAATGTTGCTGACGGGCACTTGAACCACATTCACCATCATATTGAAGCACTCTGCCTGCATGTGTTCATTGCTGCTGCAGTGGCTTACTTGCTGAATGTTACATGCAGAGTCAAGAAGGCATTTCTCTCAGTTTATACAGTCCCTGTTCTTGCTAGGCTGGGTAATGTACCATTAGACTATTTAGATACTCTTCATAAATGTTCCAGCATTGCCACATGTCTGATGATCCTGATGTATTGCCTGTCACTTCTTCCTGGATTCTTCAAATACGTCAAGAATATTTACAGAAGTCTTCAAAGTGATATGTTTCAGAATCCTATTGAAATTCATATTCAACATATTTTATGTGATAAATTTTATGTGATGCCCCAGTTTTTTGTGTTTTGGTGTTCTCTTCTGGCAGTTCAACTTTGTCGTTATTGGTATCCCCAGGTAAAAATATGCAGACACATATTTTTTTACAATTAATATATTTGTTTTGTTTATAATATAAGGGTATGTTGCCTTGTTATAGATTCCACATATTGGAACTACAATGCTATATCCTTCAGAAAAAAGATGGTATTTGTTGTTTTTGTATGCAGTATCTGAGATTTGTGCATCACCATTAAGTCTGGTTGCTAGCTGCATTACCATCATGTATACATCTTGGGCTGTTCTTAGTTTCACAACTGTTCTTGCGAAAGGTAAATTATTATTATTGTAAGTGGTTTTGCATGTGTATTTTCAATTGGTTTTAAAATCATTACTTTATTAATTTATTACAATGTCAATTCTGATTAATGTGGGAATGCACCTTGTGAACAGAACAAATGATAAAAAGAATCTGTTAAGTAATCGGAATAAATTGAGATAATGTTAATTGCACAATATTGGAGTGTAAACATTACATTTATTTAAATGTTGAAATGATTTAAAAATTGAATTCACATTGGTGTTTGTTACAAGCGAACCAAAATTTAATTCTGTTTTTTGAATCAAATTGAATAATAATACTATTTTGTTTTTGTGTATTTTTTAGGACCAGTTATAGGCCACAATCTGGCACGTCTGGGCACGGGGGAAGGGGTGACGATGGCTTTGCTCTCCCTGCAGACTGGCCTTGTTGATCTTCCAATGCCACAAAGAATTGGTGCAATGTCTGTCATCCTTTTCATAGTACTAGGCTCCCTGGTTCAGTCAATGCATGAACTTGTGGAGCCAACTTTACTCTCATTATGCACTTCCCAGACATATTCGCTTGCTAGACATGCTCGAGTCCTGCTTGTGTGTATCTTCCTTTTTGTCTTCCCCCTCTACATGACCATCTTCCTGTGCAGACTTTTTGATGTCGATTTTTGGACTCTAGTAGTTGTATCAACTTGTGCTTTGACATCAGTCCAGGTAAGTCATAAAGAAGGAAAAACTTATTATAAACACAATTAATGAAATGTTCTAGAATAATTATTAATCTTCCAGTCCCTTTTTTTGTTTCACATTCATCCCCTTTCCTTCTTATTAATATTTTTTCTTCAATTTTGATATGAATTTAAATAAGATTTCTTTGGCAGTTTGGGATGCAAATGTCTTGAGTGAAGAGTTCAATTTATATATAAATCTAATTTACATGTGACATTTAGTCATTTACATGGTTTTTCAGGTTTTAGGGGCTCTTACTGTCTATGGACTGTTTATGTACGATGCATTGCAAAAGGATTCAGGATGGGAATCGCTAGATGATGTTGTGTATGTGGCACGTGCTGTTACTAGAGTTTTGGAATTTGTTGTAGCTGTTCTTGTGGTGGGAGCAGGTTAGTACAGTTGTTAACTTTTTTGTTACATGGAAATTTGAGTTGCAATCATTACTTGCAATAAATAACAATTTAGTAACATTGAAATTTATTTAAAGCTTCAGTCGTGATAGCATCTAAATTTCCTAATGGATTTCTCAACTATTGTTTTGGTATTTAATTCACTAAATTTCCTGTAGACATTTTGAAGAAGAAAAAATTGTAGGTAACATTTGGAATTACAAGCATTAACTTAACTTTCTTGTATGCATGTTTCTTTAACTTTTAACATTATTTCGATGACCATTCCTAAAATTAATAAAATAAGTTTTCTTTTAAATGGAAGGAGGAGAAGAGAAAGGAAGAATAGGTTCCCTTAATTGGTCAAAAGTGTGGGAAAGGAATATTTAGATGAAAGTGAATATTCAAGTTTAAGAGAATGTTCAAATTAATAAAAAATGATATAGCATGTTTTTAAATTTGAAAAATTCTATTAAAGTATGTTGAAACATCTATTAGTGTTTAAAGAAATCGATTTAATTCAGGATGTGGCGAATCAAGGGTTTGGAATGAAACATTCATGTTAAGGGTGTTTGTGTTATGAGTTGTTACAAGAAAGTTGTAAAAATGTATTTTTTGAGTGGTCCCTTATTAATCTTCAATATTCAGCATGAAAATACATAGGTCAATGTTTTATTAAATGTAGGTCCTGTATATAAAATAAGCTGAGGATAGATGATTATTTGAAAACAATTATAAGAAACTATTGATATAAAACCCTGTGCTTCTGCTGGATATGAAATTACTACCCAGTCCTGCCCCAAATAGATTTAAGATGAAAAAATAAAAGTTTGCAGATTATGAAATAGGAAACAGATTTCTACTATGGCATTAAAATTGCACATAATTAAAAAATGATGTGTCATAGGCCCTTAAAACCAGGTTGCTATGTCCCTGAAGGAATGCAAGTTTGGGGGATCATGTAAGGCTTCATTTAATTAAAGAATATTCAAGAAAATGACCTTTTTGAACCTTCTCTTTCATTTTTGGACATTTAGCTCTTGTGGGGACCCCTACTCTGTTGCATTGGTGGTGAGAAAGGAGCTGTAACTAAAAAGACAGTTTCAAAAGAAAATGAATGGAGACTGAAGTAATCTTCCATAAGTGTTACATGATATTTATTTAAAGCAACTTTTGAATTTCTGTGAAATTTAATGTCAATGTTTAGCAATATTAAAATGATTACTTCCACACAATACCAGGCCTGTACAATTGTAACACAGTTCAGAGTTATGGCCCTTCAAAATTAAGAGATGATCTCATATGATGCAATTTTTCTTTTTAAAACAATAATTTATGAGGAGCAGAAGGCTCACATTAAAGACAAGACACTCATTAAAACCTAGGTTAGTTGCAGCTGAATATTATATAAGTCAATTTATTTAGGCCTATGAAACCTTTAGACATACGAAACAGTTGAAAGAATTGGTCTTTTTGTTACCTCAATGGTTATAGCATGTGGGCATAAACCAGGAGACTAGGGTTCAATTCCTGGTCAGGATGAGAATTCTTTGAAACAATAAATATACACTGTAATATTAAAATACAGTAATTACAAGTTACAAAATCATATCAATGGAGCCATTTACTGTGAAGTATGTATTTCTGATGTAAATGCCTCTCCAACAAGATGACAGGGTGGTGACAATTGAATATAAATTTTTGATTTGTAAAAAAATGTGCACCCATAAGATTTCAATGAATTTTCAGAGAGTTACAGAAGTACAAAAAACCAGTTTAGGATTTGAAACAATCATGAGAACCAACCTCGGCTTAGTCCTGAAATTTTTTATTTTTGCCAATAATTCATCAGTTTTCTCAATAGCCCAGGAAGCATGATTCAAAAACAATACAAAATTGAAAATTGATTCATAATAGTATTACATAACCTGAAGAATTTATTAGACCACATCAATTTGATACCAATAGTCATAGGCACATAAGACATACTAAATTAAAGAAATACTTAAGTGAGGAAGTTTACCATAAAAGTACATAGGTTGGTAATACTATTTTCCTTTGTATTAAGCAGAGTTTTGGTTCTAACCATTGTTTGGATCCCCAATGTTATCTTTCTACAAATTTATGTGATATATTAATCATGATCAGATTCACGATATATAATGTATTAATTTATATTTGTATTTTATAATTTAAAAAAGTAATATACCTGTAACGAGTAATATACTTCAGTTTTGGGGTCAGTTACCCCATCTCGATCAGGTTTTCGTCTAGTTTCCATGATCCATTGAGCAAATGCTGAGGTGGCCTCTTGTTTTGAATCTGAACAAATATGTAACTTCACTATGTGCACGTTTGTTTGTGATCTCCTTTTGCTAGTTGGGGTTGGGGTAGAGCTAAGGGTGTGAAGTACTATTTTGTTACTATCAACTCAAATCTGTCATTCGTATACTGATTCAAATAAGTTTTGTAGAACGGGACTGAAAATGCCTCCTCTCACTTTCTCGGTACTTTGATTTATTAGTGAACGACGTATTGTTAAAAACTGAGGATGAGAGTTCAGAGCTCAAGACATCCCCTGTATATCATACAGTTTTTACTGCTCATTGATAACGTAAATCAAAACTTTCTCTACAAATTCACTTTTACTATACATTGTTTAGAAATTGTGTTATAAAAAACTAATTCACCTAATGAGGGAAGGTTGGATTAAATAAAGTTTAACAAAACAGTCTAAACTCTTTTTTCCACTTACAACAGTGTTATTGAATCTAAGTGAGAATATTGCAGTCATTTTATGAATAAAAATATTGCTCTGAATTTTGAGGTTTTTTCATTCTTACTGATTCAGCTAATAAGAATAAGATATAGAATAAAGAATATTAATTAGAGAATATTAGAATTAAGAATAATAAAGAATAAGAATATTGCACAGAAGTGCTACTAATGAAAGCCTTGTGTAATTTTGTACTAATACATTTACTCTTCCAATTGAGAATTATATTCTGCTCATTATTGCATTATTCAGGAACAGAACTAAACGTTCTTTGAGGGAAACTGGACATCAGTTTAGGGAGAATTTTGTTGAAAACAAAAAACATTGGTCATATATATGATTAATTGAAAGTCTTGGTTGTATTAAAAAAAAGAATCCAATTATTATACTACAGAATTCATGCTAGTAACTAATGCGTATGTCATGTTAGTAACTAAATTTATTTAAAATAGGTGAAACACTTTTTTGTGAAAGTGGAGTAATTTCAAACAAATGTTACATTTTTCATCTCATTTGAAGGAAAATTTTCAGCTCACTTGGAAAGTTCTTTTGTAAGCTACCCCACCAGAGAGTGGGAAGCTTTTGCCCTGGGTAGGGATGCTATAGCTATAATAATAATAATAATAATAATTGTTACACTATTCCAGTACTGTGGCTAATGTAACCAATGCTCTTTATTACTGTTTGTTGTTAAGAAAAAAAATACTCTGAAATAATTTACTATTGAGGAGAAAAAAAAAATTACTTGGGAAAACTAAAAAAATTGTATCAATGTGTACTAAATTCACATAAAGCAATTTATTGACTCCGTTCTTTTTATAATAGATCGAAATTCAAGATAATGAAATTGCCCAAATTTAAACTGAACAATGATTCTGGATACTTACGTTCTAATAAAAGCCATTTGAAAGAAATTTTTGTCATGGAGATAGTGAGCTGAGAAACAAATATTCTATGGATTGTGTATTTCTCTGTGAAATTTTCATTGACATTATTATTGTATACTTTGAGAGAGATTGTTAGTTGAATCATACAATTACAAATGGAAGATCCATTACAAATAATAAGTTAGGTGTTAGTATTTTTAAGGAATAAACCTTATTGATAATATTAAAATGTATATAATTTTTTGAATGCGTTGCGTCTTTTTCACTATACCTCTCATAACTGTTCTTGGGTAATGAGCATATATATTATTTCTAAAGTAATCCTCCATTAAATCTAGTAATCAAGTACGTCTTTTTGTCTCGTCAATCAATGCCTTTTATCCCTTTGGTAAAGGGATCGGCACCATTAGTTACCAGGGTTCCCAGATGTTCACCCACCCAGGAATCTGTGGTGTCTCAAGTTGCTTAACTTTAGTTATTTCCCAGAGGGTAGTTAAGTAGATAGGCTAATAATGTTTAAAATTTTCAAGAAATGAACTAGTAAAAGTTCCTATGGTTCGCAGGGTATTCCTATTTGAATTATGCCTGAAAAAGTGGACTTAATTCCAGAAATAATGTTAACTTCTAGAAATAATGGTAGACTGTATTCAAGATTAACAAACAAGCAATTTTTGAAACTACATAATTATAATTAAATTTCTAAAAAAAATGTTGGCCATTAACAGTCTTTTTAGAGTAATTTACTTTAAATGGATTATTGATGCATAACTATACTTCAATTTTTTTAATGTAGTGCATGATATAAATCAGCTGTTGACAGGGTCATCCAATTGCGAGCTTAAACGTCACCACAGTGATGTCACCATGATGATGTTCAAGCTCCCGATTAGATGACATAGTAATTGGATGATTACGTCATAGGCCATGTTAAAAAAATTGAAGTCTACAGATTTCACCCACTGTTATAGCATTAACATAAAAGGAAAAGCCTTGGTGTGTAGCTTTTTTTAATATACAATCACATTTTGCTTTTGTTAAACTTATATGAGTGGCTTACTAAAATTAATGAAGAGAACATGAAAATTACACGGAAAATAGATATAGGTGTCCTGTGGTTGTTGTTTTTACATTGTTCCCATTAAATAAGCTCTTATTAATTAAGGTTTTGGAATCTTTGAAAGATTCAAAAAACATTTTACAAATGTTCAGCAGTCATTTATATTGTTTTGAGGAAGATTTTAATAAAATACTAAATATTTCACTGTCTATGTACTTATGATAGTGAAAGAACCTTTGACCTTAAAACTAGAGCTGATGACCAAGGTCTTACTAGATGAAATTATTGTAATATATTTCCTTTCATTTCTGTTGGTTACATGATATTTATTGCTTGAATTAACATGTTTGTAACTTGTTAATTCATTGTTTTAATTTATTATTCATTGATTCATTTAATTTCTTAGGTGTGCGAGAATCAATCATGCTATCATCTGAAGGTCGACCTTGGTCATGGTTGAATGGATCTGTGCTTGCCATTCACTTTTACTTCAATGTGTACCAACGGCTTCAGTCAGGGTGGCGTAGTTTCTTGCTGCGAAGGGAGGCTGCCCGAAAGATCCACTCATTGCCGAGCGCAACCCCAGACCAACTGAGGGCAAGGTCACATGATGTATGTGCAATATGCTACATGGAGATGAAAAGTGCTTGTGTGACACCATGCACTCACCTATTTCATGCTCCTTGTCTCAAAAAGTGGCTCTATGTCCAAGACAGGTGTCCATTATGTTCTGCACAAATAGTTTTCAATAAGACAGAGGAGGACACTGACTCCACCTCAGGAGCAGTTGCCACTATGTCTTCGTCAGAAAATTCATCTTCCCCAGTCATTTTCGACAGTGGTGAAGGAGATGATGAAAATTGTCCTGATGCACATCATAACCACAATGTGGAAAATGATGTCATTGATTCTGATGTTGACACAGAATTTCCTATTCCTTCTAGTCATACACATTGCAACTCTGGTTGCGATGATTCCTGTTCTTCGAATCCAGTTGATTTGACATGTTGTTCCAGTGGTGTAAATGGAGAGCATGTTGATGACATTCCTGACAACGAGGAAGATGATGAGAGTGCCAAATTTAGAAAGTTTTTAAAGACGATGAAAGGCTTCCATGCAATTTCTAGTCAGATGACCTCCCCTGGTCCAATCTTGAGAGCTTCCAATGAATGTCTGATTGTTTCTGATGGAGGAGAAACCATCAAAATTCCTCCAGATTACAAACCCTGTGAATGTTTTCGCTTTCCTGTAGCTATTAATCCCAATGCAAACAGAAATGGTAATTGCATTTTAAATGTCAATGACAATTCAAATATGCATATTAATACTAATGCTAATGGAAGTCTTCTGAACATCAATGAAAATGAATTGAATGATGAAAATCACAATCTTGATGATACCCAAACTGAGAGCAATTATTTTGTTTATGATCAACCACAGGAATCATCTGAAACACTCCATTGACTGTAAACACGGCACAAATCAGAACTTTAATGTTACAGTCTACTCAAAAATGTAACCTTGTCCTCAGATTAGATGTTTTTTCTGTATAATTTGAGCTCTGATTATTTAGAACATGTCTATACCGAGAAAAGACATTATTAGATGTTGGTGTTTTATTTGATGTCTTTGTTAGTTTTAAGATGTAATGTAATGTGGTGTTTTGTGATGGTTTCTGAATAGATTCCCTGCTAAGTAATACACAGATAGCTGCAACTGTTAATTCAGAATATTTTGCCTTCTATGGAGTAATGACCTTTGTATTGTATTTCCAACATTATTTTATTATTGTTTCTTTAACTTTTCATTATACTAATTATTTCAGTGGATGACATTCACTTCTATATAAGACTGAATAGCATTTGAATATGATGCCAAATTTTAGTTAGAAAATATTGTATACGCCAACATATCGTCACTTCATGGGTGTAATTTTTATATTTCTCATGAGTTGTACCAGGTTTAATTTTTTGTGAGTATGTTTTGTGTTGTATTTTATGGAAGCATAACACTGGAATATTGCCATTATGTCTAAATATATTTCCCTAAAATTTTTATATGTCAAAGTGATCTACATCTGTAATAGTATTTCATCTAGCTCTTCCCTTAGAGTAGATCAGGGGTTGGCATACTTCTTATCATGAAGACTGTCACTATCGAAGTTAGAATAAAGTTCCATATTTACCTGAATATAAGTGGACTGAATGTAAAGCAACCTCCTAATTTGAAGGGGAGAAGGTTTTTTCCTCATAATAAAAAAAAAAATTCTTACTATCCAAAGTAAAATTGCAAATTGTCTAATTGACTAGAAAATTGTCTTGTTGATAAGAAAGTTAAAACTAAGTATTGCCTGAGCCATCACTTTTTTCCTATTCCTTAAAATTATCCTTACCATGGTTTTTGTCCCTATCTTCACGCATGTTATTGTTTCTTTTTTGGGTCCTCACATACTGCGTCGTCCTTCACCTATTCCCCCCCACCCTAAAGTTTTGGCATTGAATTTGCATTTGTCTTTCATCTGAACATTGAAAACATACCCACTTGATTCACATGATTTTCTTCGTGAACTCTCATTCTTTAACAGAATGTACTTGAGTTTTGTATTGCTGAATGCTTGTGATATCAGGTGTGAACTCATACCACTTAGTTCCTCTGTTTCGCTAGTAATGTGGGAGAGAGTGGCAAGCTCTAAAGTTAAAGAATTTTTTTTTAAGATATTATTTTTTCTCTCATTTCCTCTTCTGCAAAATGCAGATCCGCTCTCGCTGAGCGTCAAATCAAGGGCTCGCACAGCCTCTTTGATCAGCGCATAATGAACCTATGCCACGGTTTTTATTAATTTTCATGTTGTGTCTAACTTACTACAATACCACATTCATTAGAATTTTTTTTTCCCATCCAAAAACAGAGTATGAACAAATTTGAAGTGGATGCAATAATATGTATGTATATGCATTGTATGTGCAAGTGTGTGTGTGTGTGTGTGTGTGTGTGTATATATCTCTCTCTATATATAAAAGCATTTGATTTCTTTTTGGCATGGAAAGATTGTAAAGTATAAGATGTAACCAACAAGGCTTAATCTGCGAAAAGAAGTTTCCTGCATTTTTCGAATGAGAAACAAAGGAAATAAACTAATCTTATACTCTGGTAAATACGGTACTTTAATGTCTTATTTTACTCCCCAGTTGTATACAATATTAAAGCCCAAATTTTGCTAATTTACTTAAAGAATATATAATGTGTAAAGGTGCATATTAAGTTTATGATTCAGTACAAATTAATTGTATTGTGGGATTCAATAGTAACTATATACTGGATATGAGATTGTAATAACAATGAGTCAAAAATTGATTTACCAAGCTGATGCATGCTTCATAATTTGTGATATGCTCATACTATCTAGAAACTACAAAGATTAGTTACTGTTATTGAAGACATACCAATGCAATACACAAGGAGTACCACCTATTACAGACCACCCCCATTACTTTTAAATGGTTCACAATATTGAAATGTACATTTTGCTCAACAATGAGGAATCATGAGGCAAGTAATATGGCGTTTAGATATTATTTGAAATATTTTTAGTTTGTGAGAAATTTAATCTTTGATTTTTAAATTGAACTGTGTATGTTTCTTACTAGCAATAGATAAATCGTAAAAGAGGAATGCAATGATGTAACATATGTTAATGTTTTGCTATTATTTTGAGGATAAAATTATACTTCCAGACATGTGATTTTTAATTAATCGTGAAAGATTTCCAATCACAATTCTTGCAACTTGCCTTTGGAGAAAGTGGCCTTCACTGCACCAGCACTTTTTCTGGGAGAATCCACAAAGGCCACTTTCTCTGAAGGTGACAGTTGCAAGGGCTGTGATGGGAAATCTTGTATATTTAATTTAAAATCACATGTCAGAAAGTATAATTTTATCCTCAAAATAATAGCAAAACACAAACATATGTTAAATGTTATTGCATTTCTCATTTTATGACCTATCTATAGTGGTAGTGAGGAAAATATATAGTTCCTTTTAAGAAATCAAAGATTATTCAATTTTTTGAAAACTAAAAATAATTGATAACATATTACTTTTCCCATGCTTCTGCATTTTTGAGCGAAAACTGAATTTTGATATCGTGAACTGTTAAGAAGTTATAATGGTGGCCCATAGTTGGTGGGACTTCTATATAGAGCCTAAACTTTTTCTTCTTTTGTAAATAATATTTTTTTTGTTTTTCAGCTTGGTAAAGTATTTTCATTCTGTATGATTTAGCGTAAATTATAGGACATTCAAATTGCAGAATGAAACATTAAAATGTGCTAGGCAATAATTTTTGAAAAGTGATAGCAAGCCATATAATTATGAATTGGGTCTCAATTCTACCCTGTATGCCGTAGTTAGCCAACCCCCGCTGTAGAGCATTTAGCAGGCATTTGGTGTTAATAAGCTGCTTCCACTGCTCTGTTCTCATTGTGAAAGTTGTCCAGTGATGTATTATTAAGGTTTTGTTGTAGATTTTAAAATCATGATTGTGCTTTTGAAGCTGGATTGTTAATGTGATGTTGAATCCATTGTATCTGAAATATAATTTTCAGTATTTTGCGAATGAAGGTGCTCTGTTCTGATGTGCATTAGAGTTGCATTTTTATGAAGACGTTCTGATAATTGTTGTGTTATCTGCTATGAGAGTGTGAATTTTATTTTATTTGATTTCCCCCCCTCCCCTCAAAAAAAAATTACTGTGCCTCCTTTCTACACTTGTTTAAACCATTATTTTGGTGGATTCAACATAGGATAGCTTTATTAGCATTGAAAGAGTTTGATTATTTCAGTCACTTGCTTGTGATTGGAAACACCTTACAGTGTAGGGAAAGACTTTGAGTACTCAGCTTTTAAACCGAAATAGACTGGTGATCTGAAACGTCCAGCACTTCGAATTCGTATTAAATGTAATATATGTTTTAAAAATGGTAACATGATATATCTGTCTTCATTTCAATCTAATCAATAAAGGCAAATAAGTTCTAAGCATGCTGAAATCATACAACTTGAAGTTTCTGTGCTTTCATATGCATGCGTCTATATTTTTGTGAATTCATTGTCAGTGGAAATGTGTAACATTAAATGTTGTGTATAGTTTACTTTACATTTCCAAAATCACATGTTGTGGCAATTCTTAAATGTTTCTGTTTCTGGTGTTTACTGAAATTTTCTGTCCTAAAACACATACTGTCTGTCACAATCTGTCCTGAAATGTATGCACTAAATATTTGAAATTCAATTTAGAAATATTTTTTTAAATGATTTAGAAATTGGCTCATAAATGCTTTGAATGTGTTTATTATTAGTATATAAAAATCCCAGTTATTTTATGTACACATAACAAATAAAGGCCTACAATAAATGTAAGAGGAGGTGTATATGACATCTACCAATTTTAGTAAGGTAATCTAGTCTGACGTGTAACGAAATGAAATAAAGAAGTACATTTCTAGGGCAACCTATTGTCTCGTCAATGCCCTCCGTTTCATCATGTCGCCGGGCAATCATAACCTCCCTCCCCCCCACTATTCCCCACGTGACATCCGATGTTGTCAAGTTGAGGCTACAATCGCAGACGAAAGGTAATGATTCATCGGATGACATCACTTACTGTGTGACAGAAGGATGTTCTTGTTTGGCAGAGGGTGGGTTATCGACATGCAGTGACATTGGCGAGGGGGAATTTGTCTTTATTATGCCCCATTATCCTTTTCAGAGTGCTCTGACAAATCTACGAAGAGTTGATAGGATTTCGGTTGTTACGAATGGCATAGAACAATGAACATCGTACTGACGACTTATTCGAACCACAAGAGGATGCGAGGAAAGCCCATATTAGAACGTAATTAGGTTTTTGTAGACAGCAGTCGATGACAGGCAATGGATAATCGTAATTAATTCCGAAGAAAGTCGTTGAGTTGGGTGCTAGAATGGATCAACGTTTACCAACGTAAAAACTTCCTATGGAGATTTCACCAAGTAGACATCGCATCTACTGCTATCTCATTGACTGATGTGGAGGCGTGGAATTGCGAGCAGATAATCCGGTGAGAATGCATGTTTCTTTCATCCATTCGTTGGCAACTTATTTTATTACTTTGTCGCCTTTTGCTTACGCTGTACACATACAGCTTACGCAGAGAAAGTATTGTAATGGTGTGAAAAAATGGGCATTTTTAGCAGAAAACTCTTATTGCCGGGCCCTGCTAACGAAATAAGTAAATACATTTTGCTCCTATTATGAAGTAAATTACTTCTAACATGACGTGTAGTGAGAAAGTTTGGTAGGTCCTTGGTATCGCAAAGGTTCCTTGCCCAGGGCCCCCAATAGTAACTAAAAAAATAGTTGAAAACGAATTTAAAAAAAAGAAAGGTTGTGCATGATTAAACTGCATGAGCAAAATGGCATAACGGAGTGATCTTGCATACTTATACATATATGTTTAATTTTTTGATTGTTTGTGATTCCGGACACAACTAATGACTTACAGGACTAATAGGGTCATTAGTTCCGTAAGTGCAGTGCATGTTTTTTGCTCGGTAGGCGACGGTTTTCCCCCTATAGCGAGATCCGACGCCGTCCTACCGTCGGCTAGCGGGGTTTTCCCCAATCAGATATCTCCCACCAGCGGGGCACCTCCCCAGCTGGGGCGAGCTCTAAGTCTCCCGGGATGTGTGGTAGTGTGCATGTGAGAGTAAATGTGGAAAGGATCCGTGGCCCGTTTGTTAGGGCTCTGCCTGGTATTGATCGGAGAAACCACGGAGTTCCCGACCAGAGCAGCCGGCCGCTGGAAGTCTCCTTGAGGCAGCGACTGAGTTCGATCAAGTTGAAAGCTAGTGTCGAAATTCTTGTCTCCGTCGGGTCTCGAATTTAGGACCTCCCGGTCAGAGGGACAGCAGTACAAATAGTTGATGGACTGAGCCATATCTCCCTTTTTTGTTTGAATAATGTTAAATTGAAACATTAAGAAATACTTTCAAAATAATAAATATACAATGTAAGTTGATACGACTTGATTTAGATTTCAGAATCGAAATTGGGGGGGGGGAGGTTGATGAAAGTAAGAATAGGGGGCCCCCAAATTAACCTAGGCCCAAGGGCCTCTAAAGCTGTTAAAACGGCCCTGCTGTAAACAATGCTAACAGCTAAATGGTAAGCCGTTCACCAAAATTAATATTCTCCAGTGTATATGACTATTTGTCTAACGGCCTCTTGAATTTGATATTGGGGACTACTTTACCGGAAGCCACAAAATTTTCTAAAATCTGGCTTCATAGTTGCTTTATTTTTTCCCCTCTCGTAGAGCAGAAGCCTTGAAATGGCGTACGTCGCATCTTCGGCGCACTCCCGGAATTTTCGAAAACAAATAAGGTTCAATATTTTTCGACGTATTCCTACAATACAATAATGTCAATACATTTTTTTCCTTAATGAAATCTGTTTATTAAAAACAGATCTTAAATAGGATCATGTTCAACTTTTCAAACATTTGAGTAGTTTTTGCGAAATTCTGCGTAAAACAGGCAATTTTTAAACAATTGTTCTCTCAAAAATGTTCAATTTTTTCACTTTTCCATATACGTACGTATATAAGTAGCATAGGAAAAGTTATGTAATGCTGCGGAAAATCTGTTTCGAGATTTCGACGGAAACACACGTTTTAGGGTCCTCTAATACCGAAAATGTGGTTCTTCTCAAAACATCCGTCTGTGAATGCCACTAGCACTTACACCATGCGTAGGTTTTTTCCCCTATTTGTAGAAACCCTTGTTCATCTGGCTAGACTCGAAATTTTGAACAAATTTCTTTAAAATTTGGTGGTACTTTACATGAAGCCCTTAATATAATTGTTTGAAAGATCTCTTACGCCTTTAATTTGCATATTTCAAGCGATTTGTAAACACGGTTGCATTTGTGACTGGAAGGACTTGAAATGACTTCATATGAAGTTTTTCGGAAACAAATTGTTTTTTGGTGAAAGAGGTTTAAATGTTCGCATTTACAGTTGCTTTTAAACGTCATTTTCGTAAAAACGGCTCCAAATGTTCACAGAAAATTGCTATTTAGGGCGTCGTTTAATTGTTCTTTATTATTCTCAAAATAATATTATGAAACCGAAAAATTAAGGAAATTAAAAAAAAAAATACTTTGGCGGGCAGTAGGTGGCAGCCGGCAAGAGCATGTGGCAAGTCCGAGTAGCTAGCCGTAGCTAGTAGTAGTCGAGTAGGACAAATAGAAAACTAATACGAGAAAGTCTGTGCATTCTGTAGCACCACTTGTTCCTTAAATTTTTTTCCCCATCGAATCTAGCAAAAGAAAGATAAAGAGTGTGGGTTGGTCCTATTTCAGGCAAACTCTGTAAGTTCGAAACACTCGGTACCTAAAAGTTATAATT